GACAGTCCGTGATAAGTAGGTATTTTATTTTTACAGTTTAAAATGTTTGCTTTGACTGAAATTTTAAAGTCAATCTTAAGATTCTCTATTTAGTGGAAATCTAGGATACCGTTTTCTACATTTTGCTAGTATTTCTTCGTTTCTACAACTGACAGATACGGCCCTGCCTTTATAGTAAACTAGATTTTTTTAATTTAATATTTTTTACTTGTTCTTGTGCTTGTTCAAGATTTTATCAATTGACGAGTTTCCAATATTGCTGCATTCCTCCAACTATAACATTTAAAATATAGTACTACATTCCCACCATAGCCCACAAAATGATAGGATACTTTTTTCTACTCGCGCATTCCGTTCAAAGACCGAACTAAGCTTTCGCTGAATTTTTGAATGAAATGTTTTTTTGATCTACTAACATTCGTCAAATGTTCCGACTTTATTCCTTGTCAAGTTCCTAATATCAAATACTTCTTGCCTTGCAACTAAAGAGTCAATATCAAAAGTAAACAGTATCGAAACGTATTCCCACCACAGCCTTTCAACTACAAAATGATAAGAAAGTTTCTACTCGCTCTACCATAATCGCATCTGCCAGACAGCCGGGAACACGCCGCGTGTCCAACAAACACTATTAACTAAAGACAAGTCTAGACGTGTATGAATATTAATACGGCGAGCAGGATGCGTCCAACTCAAAGTTTCCTTGAGGGTGATGCACAGCCGGTATAGAAGAAGCAGCCCATTGAAAGGGCTTTCCAAAATCTGCGTCGCGACGCTCTGGGGCGTTGAAACTTTTTTCGTATCCTTAGTAATCCTTAGGAATACCCATATCAAGAGGAAGAGGAGAATAAACTATCATGTTTGTTCTTATCTAAATGCTACAAAAAAGAGAAAATTCATAAAATGTATAAAAACAGAAGATTAGAGCTTAGCAAATTGCTTTTAGTCAAATTTTACTGTAAAACAATTAAGATAAGTAAAGCAATTCCAGTCAAATTAAAAGAAAACGTTATTTCGGAAGTCTTAACTCCGCTCTACATGAAAGCCTATAAAATGAGTTTACTGATCTGTTATATGCTGTAACAGCTGTCAGGACTTCTAGTAGTTCGCCGTGTTTGAGAATTTTACGCCCAGCTGCCGCCGGTGCCAGCAGATACGATGCCATTCGATTTTGAACTCTAATTTGAACTTGAAAAGACATATTTTCGATCGGCAGCTATTGCGTGAAACTCAAGACTTGTGGTGTTGCAGGTAGATGTCAGAACTTCTGTGGTATGTTCGATGCTTTTAGGATATTTGCAGTACTGTCTTTGTACAATAGATGTCACTGTTGAGATGGTAAACACTGCAGCATCTGTAGTTTCGATAAGTGATATCATAAAAAATCTATACGAGTTCCGTTTTTCTATTTGGCTACGGAACCCTAAAAATCTGATGGGCTGTTGTAATAAGTTTTTTTAACAACGTAGAATCTTTTTACCTGCATCTCACCCGATAGAAAGTGTTGTTCAAGCCAAAGGTAGAAACAAGCTTCATTTGGAATCGTCAACCATAGAGGAACTTAGGCAGTTCTTACCTTATGTTATCTTAGTTAGTGATACTGTAGGTAGGTGATATCAAAAAGGTTTTGGAATTGAGATTGGTCTACAACAGCCTTTCCCAAAGTGGACGATAACGCCCCTTTGTGGGCGCTGCAGGCCTAAAGGGGGGCGGTAAGAGACCCAGAAAACAAATCGACACGTTGTGTAGAGGCTTGGGAGGCGATTTGTAATTTTATCTACTAAGAGGAATTTTAACACCGCCTGAGCTCACGACTCTCAACTACAAATGGGGGCGCATAAAATTAATTAATTCTCAAAGTAGGCAGTAGACAAAATAAGTTTGGGAACCTGGACTTATTTATGGGTTTTATGACTGATATTTAAAATCTTGCACGCGCAAATTTGAATTGCCGATCTTGCCTTGCCTCTAATTGAATAAACATAGAGTCTGCCCAACGGAACCCACTTAAAGAATCGTTCAAATATCCAAAAGTTTGGGACAGTTTCGACATAATTTTAATGGAAGCAATATTCCTGTTAATTTTGCGAATTTTACCTGCCTTGGAATGAATTTGGGAAAGCTATTAAAACTTACCTTTTATAAAATTAACAAAGTGCGGACCGTAATTTTTTGACTTTATTAAGCATTCACCTTGAATGTTAAAAGCTTGTGTTAATAAATAAATCTCGTAATAGACTTTTTGTTTCGAGGTATAAAAATCCAAAGGAAAATTGAATTTGGTTAAAGATTACCTACATAATGGTTCCTCCCGTTAATTATCTTGATAATGATAAAAAGTAAATACAGAAAACCAGAAAATCTGGTAGATTAATGTTAGTACATTCAGCAGTGTTTTTCTCAGACATTGGATCTTTAGTATCTTCAAATAAGTTATTTTTACGATTAAAAACGCATACTAAGTTAATTATTTGTTATACGGGCTCTAATTCAGTTGAAATGACGACGGAAAGGAGGTTTGTACAATGGAGATCACCTCTGCTATGATTCGCATTTATACAACTTTAAAGTTCAAAAGCCGTTGCAGAAATACGACATTTTGTGGTAACATAACTCTTCTGTGATTTCGTTTATACTATGGCACTACAGTTCCCAAAGTTAGTGCGTAAGTCTTATCTCAGAGGTCGGGTCGGGGCTCCGTCAACAATGCGCTCGTTTGGCCCAACAATGGTCCTGTTGTACCAACTTTGTTAACAACTGCTTATAAATTGCAAAAAGTTTGAAAGTTGGGCAATACATGTTGGGACTACAGAATAAATGTGACCAGTGAAGCATAATGAAAGCACTTTTGTATGCTTTTTAACATTTGACATAATGTAACATACCTACCACCAGTCAATTTATTGTAGTCCCAAAATGATAGTAGCAACGTCAATAAGTGCCCTGAAAAGATGCATCTACTTACATAAATAAATAATTACAATTTAGATAATAAAGCCATAAAAAGGATAATTAAAATGCAATAATAATATCCAAAGCAATAACAAAATAATTGCAAAAGTTTAAAGCTTTTTGCGTCAAGCCCAGGGCATTGCTATTTCTAATACTCTCATTATAAAACCAATCCAATGTTATTATTGGAATTGCAATTGGTACACTTTTAAATAAATTTTATTTATTTATTTATTTGAACACCAACAAGGTTACATTGAGGCTTCACAAAACTAACTGAACTAAGCGCTGACAGTAGATAAAGATGTTCAAGTTCTAAAGCAATGTTCATAATTATTTTGCGCACGGTCCTCTAATACAGAGTTGGTAAATGCTGACAACTGAAGACACAAGTACACAAATTATGGACACAAGTACACAAATTATGACCTACTTATTATGTATCTTTTCAGTGTACAAATTAAGGTACCTATTGTATCAATCCATTTCTCCTTATACCGACATGCACTTTTGATAGATACTATTTTTCAACTACGCTACAACACTCGAATACGCTGTACAATTTTATTTACAAGCAAATACTCGAAAAGGTTCGCTTCAAATAGCAAATAGACACACGGAGTTTTCATAAGCACCGATACTCGTGAATTTCCATCCATTTTATTTTGTCGTACCACGTCCTGCTCCCAACCCCACAGCCATGACCGCGTGCTAACTTAACGAGGAAGATTTGACAGAAGCAATAAAAACTCCAGCCAGGGAGGTAATTTCATTACTAGGCTTCGATAATACGATTGGGAGACGGCTTTAAAATAAAACTGCTGCGCCGCCAGTTTTATTCATTGGAAAAATTAAGAATCAACGAGAGATTTCTTAACATTAAATGTTGGAATTTTACTCCATTCCTTATTCCGTCTAGATTGCGTGAAGTTCAGTTTGTTACAGGAAAACTGGCTTACATGACACTTGACATTGTAATTTGTCTAATTTACTCAATGTTGTTATACCTAGTTAGCCTACGATTAAACAATGATACTGTAAAGTTTTATCAAAAAACCAAACCAACGCGTGCAGCCCGCGTGCACGATGGCAATGGCGATCTTACTGATCGCTATCGCCATCGCTTACGCGTTAGTTTGGCCGTATCTTAAGAGTAAAAACATCAATGTATCTTTCCTCAAATTTTTCAATTTAAAATATTTTAAGGATTTCATGATCCGCCCATGAAAATTAACAACTGTGATTTGAAGCTTAAACTAAAAGCTTTGCTAAGCTAACCAAAACACTAAACTTTAAGTACAACCTTTAAAGGTAAGTAACCATTTAAATGTAAATCACCTTTCAATGGGCCTTAGTTCTAAAAAACAAAATTTCCCAGCAATACAAAGTTGTTGTTATTTGTTCGGAACTTTATTGAGANTATTGAAAGTTTCAAGTGAGCTTACAACGAAAACTAAACGGTCTGCTTAGTTAAAGGTGGGAGTTAACGCTTCATTGAATATTTTAAACTTAAGTGAATAATACCTTTAAAATTATAAGTAAACTCAACAACTATCGGCTATAGTACAAAATGATGCCTACCTAATATAAGTAGGCTTATTTCTTAAATAAGGGCATGGTGTTATCACTATGTGTATTAATGTATAATAGGTACTGTACGCAATACTATTTAAGTGGTTGGTCTGTCAAATAAGACGTCCTTTAGCTTTGACCTCTAAGAAATAAGTAGGTATCAGTAAGTACTTTGCCAAAATAACATTCAAAAACTTTTCTTACTCGTATTGTTAACCAAGATGTCGAAAACATACTTTAGTCGGTGCTTTACTTCTTTTTGTACCCCTATTGTGATTATGTCTGTATTGAGACAGCTGTATTCCCCTATACTTGAAGGCCACTTGTAGGACGCTTACACATACTATAGTAAATATACAACACAAACTTTCCCTCTTCGAGTTTATTTGTAAACAACAAAGCCCGGCTTACCTTAAGACCAGTTCGGTAAATATTTAACTTCTAAAATGCAATAAAGGAGACCAGGAGTAACTTACCCAGGAAACTAAGGAGCAAGTACGTGCACAGCTTCATCTTCCAAGTTTCCTGCAAGAGAAAAACACATTTTAATTGGGTTTTAACTTCCATAACTGCGGTCAAGTCACGTATTACTACGATTAAAGATATTAAGCTGTATATCTAAGCTTAACAAAGTTTGGCGCATCTTGTTCATGACAAAACGTGATCGGTTTTAAGTTATAGATCGTTTCATCCACGAAGACGCGCCCCACCTATTTTTGGTCGAAGGAAGCGCGGAGTGCGGGGAGTTTGCTCCATGCAATCCGAGCGTCATTATTGTAGTGTGGATGGATAATTTAGCGTGTACCGATTACACTCAAACATTAGCGGAAGAATGGTGGGGCGCGTCTTCGTGGATGAAACGATCTACATTTGATCCTCAATCGAACTTTGGAATTCGATCCCTCGAGGAAATGTTCAATAAAAACAATACCCAACGAATTTTCAGAAATGTACTGAATTTTATTTTCCGAGAATGCATTTACCCTCCATCCGCCATCCACATTACCATTACTATGAAAATTATATCGATTTGCTATGTACTGAATTTCACTTTCGTCGTCGTCGTCGTTTCAGCCGAAAGACGTCCACTGCTGGACAAAGGCCTCCCCCAAGGATTTCCACAACTTCACTGGAATTTCACTTTACTCGGATTAATTAAACAATGGTTTTCCAAGTATTTAAAATCCTGTTTGTTGACACTCGTTGTACTTAATAAAATCACTTTTACTTGTTCCAGTATTGTTACAAACTAATTAGTGCTCATTTGCTTCTACTTGAAGAAAAATCACGATTCTGTGTCAAGCATCGCTCATTCAGACCAATATTGAGCCAATAATTAATTTTAAACTTTCGCGTTGCCTAGTTGAATTAAAGACTGTTTATATTAATTCAAATATTGATCCAAGTCCGACTTCTGTGGTAACTCAAATAGTCTGCCATCAAGGATATGACAAACTTCATGAAGATTTAATCTATAGCGTTATCTACCTAAGATGTAGGCGGCGCGACAAAGACAGATGATGATACAAGGAAACATGCTCACATTTAATAACAATAACCTTGTCAGCTTGCATGATGATATCCCGTTTCTAATCACTTATCATTCGAATAATATTATTCCGTAAATAAACATCAGTCACTCTCGGGCCCGTATTACAAAACGACCCTCAGAACTGGATTCAAATTCAAACACGTTTCAATATTTCGACCAACTTAACAACCAGGTTGAGTTAACAGCGCACCTGGCAGGCGTGACGTCACATCGACGGTTTGCCTCGGACGGGTAAGTGGGATGGAGAGTCGCATTCCAGCGCGGTGCGCAGTAGCTCGATCGGGTTGTAGATCAAAATCCATGCTTGAGTTTGAATTCAGTTTTGAGTATCGTTTCGTAATACGGACCCTAGTCATCAGCAATTTGGAGAACATCACTCATACTAATCGCATTTCTGACTATACCTAAAAGGTCTGTACACGACAGTGTGAATTAATTTTCATTCCCGTAACTGTAGTAGTAGAGTTATTGCATTGTGTAATATGTTGTTATATCGACTAAATGACAAAAACCAACGGTTAATAAAATTATTGATAAGTCCCAAAATGTCGCACAATTTTTCCTTTCAAGTGTCGATTCTATTTCTTGAAATCGACTAAAAGCGATGGCAACTTAATGGTAACAGACATTTTATGATCAAACCAATCAAGTCATAACTAATTTATAAAGTTAGTTTTTTTAACCCTATATCCTAGAACTTAAAGGTGTACTTACTGTAAAGGTGTGTTTTTACAAAATAATGAGATTTTTCAGGCTCATATAATGATTCTGAAAACACACAAGCATTAATATTTTACGTTCGTGCTTCAAAAGTTTCAGTATGGATAATGTAATTATAGGATTTGCCTCACTACCTATTGTGTTACAACAGCGGTTAGCAATTTGCCAAATTCTGTGGCAAAGTGATTAGTGGCTATAACCATGTTAACTGCGGTAGATTATTATTAGGCCAAAATTATGTATTTGCTGTTAGTTATTTCAATGAAAGCCATAAATATATTAAGGTTTATTAATTTATAACGAAAATTATAAAATAAGCATTCATATTAACTTCATAATTGCCGACTAAATAAGCTTATGCGAGTAAATAACCATTACCCAGGAATACTTTAAAAATACCCTTTCAAAATATTTCAATCCCATTTTTAACCAGCAAATGTAAAGTTCCTTTACAGTCTCTTTTTAACCCGAAGACCATAGATAAGGCAAACAAAAATACACGTTCAAAGATGAACAGAAAATCTCAACCAGCATCTATACAAAACACAATGGGCGGAAAAGTAAAAATAAAAGAGTGCGCCGCGGTGTCAGCGCCGCAAATATACGGATCGATACGGTCCGCGTTCATTATCATTAATGTTAATTCGAACGGCTTTGGATAAACGTCTCTGCTGCGACGTAGCTTCGGAAAGACAGCCAGAGATTGGAAGGGTTAATTAGATCTTTAAAGGACTTTGGGCTTAGAACACATTTTACTTAATACTGGTACCTAGTTCCAATTCCCTCGCATTAATGACTAAAAGAAACAAAATGTAGGTACGCTTATCAGATACAGCCATACGTTAGCGTATACACATGAGGCACATAACCATGATTCAAAGAAGATACTTTGAACTTGTATGAAATATGAGAAGCAAATTTTAATTTGCTCCAAGTTTCTCAACTCTTGAAACTAATTCTGAAACAATGTATTTTCCCAAAAATCATTCCTAAACAATCGCTCGTCTAAACCCAACGTCATTTAAGGTTCTTCAATCAAGTCTTACAAGATTTTTTAAAGTGCAAAAACTCCAATAAAACTGACAACGGGTCAGAGTGGACTAATTGGTAGTTCAGTTCCTTTGACAGAATCTTCCAGGAAACTTTCCGTAACTTTTTTTCGCTTAAGCTCTTTAATGAGGCTACTGAAAAACAATGTCGTAGTAACTTCTTTCAAAGATACGTAAAACTACCTCTAACGATAGGGCGATATAAGATAGTTGGTCATAGAAACTTGTTGCTAAAATGCTTTTAGCATATCAATTTCTAACCAGATAGGATTCCAATCGCTTATTAAAAAACTTTTCTCCAACACTACCCGAAGCAGCGAGAAAACATTTTGTTTCTATAACTAAAAACAGTATCAGAACTTATTCAATTTCAAACTGTACTCCCAAGTTTGTATGAAAACAAAGACTCGAAAAACAGTACGCCTTAAGTTGGTAGGATCAAACTAATTTGCGTGAGGAAAGTTTATTTTCGCTGTACAATCCTCTTAGGCCGGCCTGGGACCTGTAGGATCTTATTCTGGACTACTAACTTTCGGGAATCTGTGATGTGACTGATCGGTTTACTGTAGGGATGGGGTAAAAGGACTTATGACTAGTTTAAAACAGATTATGTTACTAGTGAAAAGTAGGGATACGAGTGACTAGTAAAAAAAGTTTATGCTGCCAGTGTTACAAAAGTAAAACCCTGCCAAATTCATACCAAATCTTGTATGAAATAAAAAATATGTCAATGTTATGAGTTTTCTTTTCAGGGACCCGTTTTGTAATCACATCTTCCTGAATCTGGAGCGTGCATAGCTGACCGTTAATCCGGCTCGAAGGACCAGCATAGCTATTATGTTGCACACGCGCCACACGTTACGATACGTAAAGTCCACCCTATAGGTAGGTACTAGTTTAAACTTCGTTCGTTGATTCTTTTCAGCCAACTTTTACTGCTGCCTTTAAGGAAATTTAAACTTAATAAAGCAGTAATTTAGACTATCTAGTCTAATTCTAGAATCTGCATAAATTCTTATCTGATCACATCACTAGGCCGAGTTTAGGCAGCAGGTGCGCGAGAAGTACCCAACTTTTTATGGGTCGCGAAAGTAAATCTACCCTCTAAAAGACTAGCTTGACAGGCGTAATGGCGGATTTAAAGGCAAGAAGTTTGGATTTAGGCGCAGGTGTCCAATTACCCGCAAATATTGTTTGGGATATCTTTTAGGTAAGAGTCATGGAGTAATTTAAACTAATAGTTACTATTCAGTGTAGCCACAGAATAAGTAATAGTACAGGTACAGAAGGATTACTCCGCAAGACGATTTAAATAACTGCGAGTCTTGCTACGACGCGATACAGTGGAATTCAGCTCGCACAGCACTACGTACCTACAATTTTATTCACCTACAAGTTTTGTCTCTTTCTATCGCGGGCATCTAAACTCTTCTTACGCTGTTAGGGTTGCTGTCTAGTGAAAAAATAATTAATCTAGGTACTTATTTGTAATGAGGTACGTATGTAGGTAAGTATGCATTAATTATGGAAAACCTTGGGAGAGGCCTTTGTCCAGCAGTGGACGTCATTTGGCTGAAACGAACGAACGAATTCTGAGCAGTAGTCATGGTAGGTTAGGTTCCTATACTATCCTAAGAATTATTGATTACCTACATGGCCAACATACATTTCAGCATCTTTGGGAAGCGAAAAAAAAAAAAATCCGGTAGATTTCTTTTCGAATTTTAACACCCGATCGCCGCACAATATTTCTTTCTCTTTATGTCCATTTTTAAATAATACTTCGATCATAGAATTATAATCATACTACAACGCACGCCAGCGTCCTGACGGGCGCGCGCGTGACACTCGACTGATATAATACCCGCCGGCGCACAGTGGTCCCGATTTTATAAAACATGGACATTGATGCTAGAGGCACGAAAATTTTTTCGATGGTTACTGTTATGATAACTAATAAGGCAAAAAAATATTACAATCCTACGACGTCTATTTCGTAGTAAAAAAAAATAAATACATATTTTTTGTATGGAAGAAATTACGTTTCTGTCAATTTTTCGAAATTCTTTAACGATGTCAAGATGCCGATCACACATGTTATAAAACAAGTTATTCTGAGTATTTCATGCGAAGATACTTGTCACTTATCTCTGCGTACTTTTGAGTTATCGAGGGTTGAAAAATCGATTTTTTTATATTAAATA